TATCTTAGCAAATAAAAAAGATATGATGTTCTTATTTTACATTCTAGCTTGTCAATATCGATAGTTTGAGTTCTAAATTTATATGAAACTGTAGATTTTGTATTTTGACATCACGAACATCTAATTTGAACCAGTGCTGCATTCAACATACTACGTGACAAAGAAAAATCAATGTTTAGCTGTGTTTTTTAATATTTACTTTGAAATTAACTAACATATAATACTAAAATTTGAATTATAATCTACAATTTGATACTATACTTATTGACATAAATTCATAAAATATTAGTTCAATAAAATTTTGAATGCAAATCAACAAACATGATGACATGGTTTTTGACATGCGACTTGTCATGAAAGGGTTAAATTAAGCCTTTTCCATCTGACATAACACTTAGTAGCCTTGTTTCATTTCGTGATTCACCTGTCACTAGACTAGCAGTGGTACACTGTACTTGGACAAGTTACCTTCCAATATTTTCAATTCAAGTGTTTACATTTAAATTTTTTAAATTATTTTTAGCTTTCTTTTGATTTTATGTATTTGTATGAAATGTGATGCCTTTCAAAAGACTACTGCTCAGTTTTAAAGCAAGTAATAATCCCATACTGTCTAATATTAACAGTTATCAATAAGAATATTTAGTAATTAAAATTTTGATAAGAAATCATTTGTATAAACTTTACATCATCATCATAGAGAATTTAACTTTTATATTTTATTTTCATTAAAAAAGGTTTTTGCGCAAGTTATGCAAGAAATGTTCAATCAAAACTATTTATCACATAAAACAAATCACTGTTTCAGTTCAAATGTTGAACTTGTGTACACACATGAACTGCTTGCCTAGTGTTTTGTCCCCCCACCCTTATTATATGTTACTTACGGCCACGAAACAGAACTAGTTATAACTTGTGGTCCTGGTTTAGGTTGAACAATAACCACGTGTTATTAACACACACACACATATATACATATAATTATCACTTTTAGAAAGCATAAGGCTAACAAAGAAAAATCAAATAGTCCACGATAGTTTTGTTACCTAAAAATAATGGCTCTGAACAACTAAACTATGAAAAAAGGAATTAAGGTAAACTACGATAAAATCCATTCTACAATATTTACAAAATTATGAGTAATTTAGTTACAAAAACTGTCTTATAATTTGTGATTTTTCTCTTTTTATTTGCAAGTATCTAAATAATAAATTGTCCAATTTTGCAAACAAGCATAATGATTCATTTGTTACTAGATTACACAAAAGAAATGAAATTAGGTAATACTAAACCAATTTAACATCAACAAATACATATTTTCAAAATAACATACATGACAATAGTTTTCTTAAAGGTTTAGGAAGACAGTGAGTCGATTCCTGGTTTCTGAATCTTACACTGACCTAATCAATCCAAATCACCTTTGTTTGAAAATTGTCCAAAATATTACTTGTATTTCCCTTCTGTAAATCTTCACTAATTATTTTGCATATGCTTTTTGTTTTTTATAAACTACAGTCGTAAATGTTGAAGCATTTTTTTATATCTTGTGTTATGAAAAATATGACAAATGGTCATTTTTAACCTTACAATTAAACTAGTCAACTTTAAAAAATACTTCAATTTCATATTTTTGTGATTCATGGATTTTTGCTCACTTGATTAGAATGAAATGATATAGCATGTTTTAAATAACCTGCTGAATTTGAGCTCACCGAATAAAAAGTATACATCAAAAAGTTACTCACTTTCATCAGTTTGTGGTGCTGAAAGAATAGCACTGTGTTTTTTCTTGACTTCTTCCACATTGGCTTGAATCTTTTCCACATTTTCTCTGATTTCTTCAACCTTTATTATGGAGATTTGTCATAAACAATGAAAGTGGTCTCAATACCTTCATTTTATAAAACTACAAGATTTCATTACAGTTATATATATATATATTTATATATGAAACTTCTTGAAAACTAAAGTACAAAGTACAATGATACTTTGATTACAGTAAAAAGATGAACTTCATTGTGCCTAATAAACATTTTCTATATTTTTATCACAGGTTTTCTTTATCTATTAGAAAAATATTTTTTTGTTTGTTAATAGCGACAATGATAATTTTGTTGCACACTCTAGGAGAGTAATATGAAAAAAAAAAATCAAACTACTGTGATAGAAAATATTTTTTGTAGCCTTTTCTAAACTTAATTTTCATTGATTATTCAGTTGTAGAAATGTACCAGTTTAGCCTACAGTCACTGTCACATGGTTAACAGCTGATGTAGCCCATGCAAAAAAAAACCCTCTCTTTCGAGTGAATTGAATGCTCTGAACCTTTCTTAAATAAAGTTTCTACAAACTGTCGGTTGTTAATTTAAGCTTCTTTCATGAATTCAAACAGTTCCAAAAGCAAAATCTGTTAAAGTTTATATGAGTGATGAGATCATACTTTAAAGAAAGTTGTTAAAAAGATAGCATTTCTGAACACCTCACTGACTTTTCGACAAAAAATAAAATTACAAATTTGTTTCACATCTGCATTACAGTTGTCAAAATTTGGATACATCTTGCACGTCAATTGCAAGAGATTTATATAAAGTAACTTTCTAAGATGCTCACGAAATACTGCATTTTCACATAAAATAGAAAAAGTTATGAACAATGGCTCAAAAAGTAACATTTTAACCTTGAAACTTTCAATCCACTTTTTGCAAATGGAATGAAATTTGAATGTGTAATAATTAAAAACAACTTTTGTTTCTGTTAAACGTTACATGGGATTCTTTTGGTTAAATACAAAATGGCATTGGTCTGTTTATCTCAGTTATAAATGAATTTAAGCACTCAGTTAAAACTGACATGAGAACTGACTACTTCTTCCTCAACAAACACGATTGCATGTTATAATTTTCATATGCACAAAAACTTCACTGAAGTACGTGTTGTTCTTTCCTCATTACAAATAGCCTCACCTCCTGGAAGAACTCTTCCATGTGTTTCACACCAGTGCTTTCTTCCAAAGAGACAACCACATCATCATCTCCTTGGGCCTATCAAAGAAAAGAACATTCTCTTTGAAAAACTTTCATACACCCTGAAATAGATTTCTTAACAGGCACAATAAACAGTACTGATGTTTATAAAAAGCATTATTTGTCGAAGCTTCAGTTTAGTACACAACAAAATTATATAATTTTATAGTCCTAAGTTTTCAAGCACAGCCTCAATAGTCATAACAAATTTCATGCCAGTGATATTTTCAAGTTTAAAATTATTATTTCAATAATATTTTCCAAGGTTCAAACTGTGTTCATCACAAAAAAATCTTCAAACAATTATTCTAACACATATTAGAAGACTTATACAAGATAAATAGTAATACTGGAAAAGAAACTTATCAAGAATATTTTTTCATTAAAGTTTAAGATATGAATAACTTACTTCAGGCTACTTGTTCATTTTATGTATTAATGCCAAAGATGGTAATATACAGAGAGGACAACTTGTTTTAAAAAAATGTTCAAGTAGTTTGTTAAAATTGGTTAAATTTAGAAAAAGCATAGAAAATTACAAACTGGTTCTGTGATTTTTACAGTTAATTAGTTAAGTTTAATATGTACATGTAGTTCTGTACATTTATTTAATACTATAATATTACTAGACCTTGAAAAACAGTCATGATACTCTTTACCAAATGATACTGTCATTCCTTCCAGATTTTTATTTTGGAAATATCTCCTTAATTTTACAGCAAGAATTTTCAATGCTTTGTTTTTGAGTAGAAATAAAATGGAAATCAGTGTTATCCTTTACACATTTGCATTTATCAATTTAACAACGGGGTTTCTAGAAACACACTTAAAGAAGTTCATGTATCAAGAACCAGGTTTTCTACCCCACACTAGAAGTTTGTGATAACAATTTGCTCAGCATTCTGCCTAACAGTAAACTAGTGGGTGAGCATGAATCATTACGTGGCTCAAAGTATGTCATGCTTTAGATGCACAAGTAATAATTTCTATCAGTTTTTAATAATGCGTTGGAGTAAGTGATCAATTACCAAACGCTAGATGGAGAAGTAGATTATAACAAAAGATTGAGAATGGTGGTTCTCAAGTGTAGGATCCAAGTTTAGAAATTTTATGGAAATTCTAGCCATTTTGTTTTCTTTGAATTTTTTTAAAATAAGTAGGAAATATCACATATTTTACAAATGTGTATGTGTACATGCATACGTATATCACAAACACACACACTTTCATGTATAATTATTTCAATGTTAATATTTTCCAATACTGAAAATGATTTTCAATAGACATTTACCTTTCTCACATATAGCTTTTGCTCCCAACTAGCCTTGAAGCTTCCACCTAAAACCATGTGTTTCCATGCAATTTTAGGTGGGAGTTTCAAGGCTATTATTAAGTTTCCTATAACACAAAACACACAAAGTTTGGGAGGAGGGCACATAAATATATTGTATATATTTCTCAGTGAGTGCACTAGCACTCTCCATGGAGGAATGCAATGAAAAAAATGGCCACCACTAAAGTTCTGTTTCTATATATGATTCATTTATTTAAGCAATGAGAATCTTGTAGGTTAAAGCATCACCTCCCAATGTAAGGGTTGCTTTACATATACCAAGTTTTCTTGCTTAGAACAGTGCATGGCTGAGTGTAAAAAAATTACATTGTGATACTTGTTACTCCTTCTTTACATGTGTATGCCAGTTGAATAAACACTAATAACACCATAAACATCATACTAAAGTACTTGCACACTCATACAATGTAAGCACTATATTCTTATACAACATTAAAGTTCCCAGGATTATTAGCAATTTAGTGATTAAGCACACAACCAACTTGAATGATTCTCAGTGAGATTTTTATTATAAGGATAATCAGACGAACGATTATAAAGATTATTTGGTTAATCTAATGTTCAGTTGATTTAATTATATCCAATTATAAAGCTTTTATGTCATCTACAATGCTAGCTATATCTTCTGAAGTAGTAAACACAAAGAAAGGAGAGGCAGAAATTAGCAATTTAGTGTTTTAATTATTTATAGCATTTACATCATATCTATCAGACAACTTAAATACAGGTGTTCCTAATCTAACAAGTTTACAAACACACTGAACATGATCATACTCTCAAGACAAAAGCATGTATATTTATACAAGTTCCAAGAATTATAGCCACTATAATTACACAGACCTGCAAATTTAAACTTCATAAAAGTTGTTTTGGTGTTACTAATGGGTTTTCCATAATTCAGCTATGCAGATTTCGAAAATAATATTCATTTCTTTCTATCATGTAAGGATTTTTACAAATTGGGAAGAAGAAAAACTCTTACTTAGATCAAATTATTATTTTGTTTACCACAATGAACATTTTTTATTATTCACATTCAATGACAAGGAACCCACTTTGAGACTAATAATGGTTGGAGATGGCTTGAATGGGTAATGAATAAAATGTCAATATAAGTTTAACATAACAGCAAATGTACAAAGTTTCGACAAGGTTTTCTTCATTACCCATTCAAGCCATCTCCAACCATTATTTTTATTATTATATTTGTTAACAAAAATACAAACAAACTGGAGAAAACGGAAGAACATTGATTTCAAATGAATATGCATCCTTATTCATCCTGATTTTCTTTGTGAAATCTACGTCTTTTAGTCTGAAACTATGTGTTGTGGTCTTTCTTTTATGTATTGGGTTATGAGATTTTGTGAAAAATCTGTACATGATGGAGAAAAATGGGTATCATTTTCAGATTCAGTGTAAAGGAATTACCGTAGAACATGTAAAAATTTCAAGACAATAAAATCTTTGCAGGCCTGTGTTATTAGTCTGTAATTAAAGAGATTCTAGAGAACATTTAAACAAGTTTGATATTATCACAGGTGGCCAGCATGGATTTGGAAAGGGAAGGTGATGCTTTATTAATATACTTTCTTTGATATGGAACAGTAGATTTGGTAAAACTTGGGCTTTCGAAAGCCTTTTCATAAATGGAGATAAGCTAGCTAAATGATTTGAGAGTTCTTTGCTATAAATAGATTGAAATCACTATGGATTAATGTTACAAGTGGTGTGTTTCATTGTTCTGTGCAAGGTTCTTTACAATTCCTCATTTTTATTAGTGACTCTGATAATGGGATAACCAGTAAAGTGGTTAAATTTGTAGATATTAAATTAATACATATTTCAAATAGTACTACAGATCCCACAGTTTTGCAAAGAAATTTGAATTAGTGCCTTGCAGATGCCTTATTATCTTAATAAGAGTACAATTATGTAAAACTAACTATTCTTATAGCCTTGCTGGGGAAACTAGGTGAACGAGAGGAAACACGAATGAGGTTTGTAAGTTTGTCGGAGGCCTGGCATTCATAAATTCAGATAAATTTTAATAAACAATTCTGCAGGCAGCAATACTATAAAATAGACGTTTAAAATATGAAAAACTCAGACATAATTCCACTTCAGGCAGTGTTACTTTTCTAACAGAGTGGTTGACCTTTGGAATAGTATGTCTTCAGACATGGTAGAAGCTGCATTGCTCAAGAAGATTACAAGACTGGATGTGTATTTTAATGATCAGGGATGGATATAGAAAAAAGAAGCTTTAATTAATTTACAGTAGGAAATATACCTTACTTTTGTAATCTGTGGTTTTTTTTAGTATATTTTTATGAATTATTTTCTTGATGTTTGAGCCTTGAACATGTCTTCTTTTCTTAGTTATCACACTAACATGATATTATGTATTCTACCGTTTTTTAGTATATGTGTGTCACTCGTTTATTTAGTCATTTATTCTGAAAAATCTCAAACAAGTTAGTAATTCAAAACTATATAGTTTTTGACATCGTAACCAATCTACGCTATGGAACAGATACCATTCATTTTCTAACAAGAATCTCCAAAGTTATGAGTGGCTTTATTCAAGAAAGCAATTATATTTGATTATGGAAAAATGTCTAAATAATAAAAGTAAGACTTTTTGATCAAATTTCCTTTTATTTCATTACCATGTTCCGTACTAGATGTAGTTCCACAGGATCCCTGAAAGTGTTCTGTGTCAAGAGTAAATAAAACCCAAATTAAGAGTAATAAATATCTTTATTTCTTGCTTTTGAAGTTCATATGTCATGCTGTGTCATAGCCTACAGAGTGCATAATTCTTCTCATGATTCATGGCATGTGCAAGGTTTACTGACATCACGACAGTACAAACTGCAACATTAAGCATCTCTTATATGAGGTCATTTTAGTGTCTACTGACTGACTGATGGACAACATGCTACTGTATAGTGGCATCAGTGGTTAAACAGGTGACCCCTCCCTGTAACCTTCAGCCCCTTTCTGGGAAATAACACAGTTTTCTTTTCTGATGTAATGAATCTATATAGTATATACATATATTATACAATGACCTCTAGTCATAAATAATGAAGTAAAATGTCTGAACTGATTTCTTTTCACTATATTCTGAGGACAAAACGTTAAGATTTGGAAATTACAGGCTAGGTCCTGTTAACTCTTTTCAGCCATGCCTGGCTAACAATACAGAAGTTACAATGATGCGGGACATCTGCTCTCATGTTACCATATCCAATAATATAAAACTGACCTTTACAAAGTAACCTGTCTTGGCTGTGTTTTAGTAGACTAGTATTTTGTAAAATACAGTCACATTTCAATGATTATACATTATGTATGTATATAGATTATTACTATTTAGAAATAAGTTCTTAAACTTATTTTTCTTAAAACATAGAACAGTAAATAATAAAGTAAAGCAAACAATTATCTCTTCTAGTTACGACCTTTAATCAGTTGCTAAGCCTTTTAAAATTTCACACGTAGATTATAAGAAACAATTTTTTTTTACATTTTGTATATATATATATATATATATATATATATATATATATATA